TCTGTCCTGCGGGGATCCCTCTGCCCTGCGGGGATCCCTCTGCCCTGCAGGGATCCCACTGCCTTGCAGGGATCCCGCTGCCCTGCAGGGATCCCTCTGTCCTGCAGGGATCCCACTGCCCTGCAGGGATCCCTCTGTCCTGCAGGGATCCCTCTGCCCTGCGGGGATCCCTCTGCCCTGCAGGGATCCCTCTGTCCTGCAGGGATCCCTCTGTCCTGCGGGCTGGGGGATGTGCTGAGGGGTGGGATCCAGGCAGGGAGCTCCGTGCTGCTGCTGCAGGCAGGTGCATGGTTGGAGGGTTGGCAATGGAGCCCGGGGGGGCTGGGGAGCACCCCGAGGTGCACCCAAGGGTGATCCCAGTGGGGTCTGTGTGACTGGCAGGGGAAGGAGCCAAAGGGACAGGGACACCTTCCCACCACAGCACGTGGCTGCTGGAGCTGCTCCCCAACACCTCGCTGGGAACAAGCCCAGGGGGGTTATGGCTCCTTAATCACAATTAGAGCAGCTCTCATTAAAGATAACAATCAGGGTGGAGATAATTATCACGGGGTAGATCCAGGCAGGGAGCAGGAGGCTTCATCCCCACCTGGGGGCTGCCACGTTCCCCAAGTGCTCCCAGATCTCCCAGTAGGAACCAGAGCCCCGGGACAATCTGCTCCTGCTGCTCAGCACCGTGTCCCGAGGGGGCCAAGGCTGGGACCCCCAGTCCAGCAGGAAAGGGGGACAAAGGCTGGGACCCAAAATCCAGCAGGAAAGGGGGGACAAAGGCTGGGACCCCCAATCCAGCAGGAAAGGGGGACAAAGGCTGGGACCCAAAATCCAGCAGGAAAGGGGGACAAAGGCTGGGACCCCCAGTCCAGCAGGAAAGGGGGACAAAGGCTGGGACCCAAAATCCAGCAGGAAAGGGGGGACAAAGGCTGGGGATCCGCAGCCCAGTGGTAAGGGGGGACAAAGGCTGGGACCCCCAGTCCAGCAGGAAAGGGGGACAAAGGCTGGGACCCAAAATCCAGCAGGAAAGGGGGACAAAGGCTGGGACCCAAAATCCAGCAGGAAAGGGGGACAAAGGCTGGGACCCCCAATCCAGCAGGAAAATGGGGTGAAGGCTGGGATTGGGAGACAAAGGCTGGGACACCCCTATCTGTCAGGAATGAGGGACAAAGGCTGGAACCCCCAATCTGCACCCAACCACCCCCTGACACCCAGTTCTGCCCCCAGAAGAACATTTCAATCTTCAGGGCCCTCCCAAAGCATCTGAAGCTTCAAGGCTACAGGTTAAATGGGACGAGGCTCTGAGGCTCCCAACTCTGCATGAATTAGAGACAATGGAAAATCCATGGATCCTGTTCACAGAACCATGGAATGGGTTGGAGGGACCTCAAAGCCCACCCAGTGCCCCCCTGCATGGGCAGGGCCCCCTCCCACCAGCCCAGGCTGCTCCAAGCCCCATCCAACCTGCCCTTCAACACCCCCAGGGATGGGGCAGCCACAGCTTCCCTGGGCAACCTGGGCCAGGGGCTCCCCACCCTCACAGCCCAGAATTTCTCCCTCCCATCTCAGCTCCAGCTCCCCTTCTACAGTCCCAGAATCATTAAGGTTGGAGAAGACCTCTAAGATCACCAAGTCTGCAGCAAGAAGGTGCTCTCCTGGCCCCAGCTGGGCCACCAAGACCCCAACCCCAGCAATGCTCCAAGCACAAAGCCCCAGAGGGCACATCCCAGCCCTGCAGGAAGCAGAACCTTCAGGATCCTTATGGAAAAGGGATAAATAAAAGGAAAGGAGGAGGG